CAGAGGGAGAAGCAGACTCCCTGCCGAGCGGGGAGCCCGATGCGGGACTCGATCCCAGGACTCCAGGATCATGACCTGAGCCGAAGGCAGTCGCTTAACCGACTGAGCCACCCAGGCGCCCTATGGGAAAGATTTTTAAAACACGTTTTTAAATTTTAATTTGTCGTGTTAATTTCTAAAGCACAGTAAACAGAAAAATGCAATGAAAAAGCAGACGGAGGCGTAACATTATCCATCCTATTGCCATAAATATTTATATTCTGTTTCTGTGCTCGGCTCATGGCAGATCGGGAGCAGTCGGTAAGCCCGTAAGGATGCCCCCCGGTCACACTCTGAGTAGGACTGGTCTATCTCCTCACTCCCCAAAGTAGGCCAGTAGCATTGGTATCACCTGGGAACTTGCTAGAAATGTAGCATCTTCGGCTCCGTCCCCTGCCTGCTGAACCAGAACCTGCTCTTTAACAAGACGCCCAGGTGATTCATGAGCGCGTTAAAGTCTGTGGTGGCACCCGAAGCAGCTGGGTCTCAGGAAACTTGTAGAAGGAAGGAATTAACCAGGATCTCATCTCCTAATCTCAATTTCTCATAACACAGGAGCTGCTGGTCTAACCTATTCCCAGATGTGCAGGACCAGCTACATAATAAATCACTGAACACTACATCTGCAACTAATGATGTACTGTATGTTGGCTAATTGAATCTAAATAAATAATCAAAAAAAAATTTGCAGGGCCCAGTGCAAAAATGAGAACATGGGACCCCTTTTTCAAAAACGATCATGAAGAAATCCAAAGTGGTGACAACCAAGCCCGGGGCCCTTCTAAGTGTGAGGCCCTTGGTGACTGTGTGGGTCCCCTGCCCATGAAGCTGGCCTTGCTGATGAGGTAGGAAACGGTTGGGGACATTCTGGACTCACGCATGCTAGTCAAGAGAAGTCACAACATTTCTGCCTTGTTTTTATTCATTACCAAACATTATAATTAAACAGCTCCATCCCTCATCCTTTTTGGAGTCTATTTTTTCTCGATATGCAAATAGAAATGGTTTTAAGTAAGGCTGGGATTCCAGTGTAAGGAATCCTTCCAAAAAATACAAATGCGTATGTGCCTATTAAAACGTGAATGGAAGCTCTGTATCGGGAAAGTCAACTTGAGCTCATTGATTTTATTGACGGTGTACAGATTTTGATATATTGCATTACAATACTGACTGCTAGATTTCTTATAAAGATTTAGTTCATATTTACTCTAGATGTTTTCTTCACAATAAACTCATGCCAGTGTTTAGGAACAAACAGCATCAATTCATTCAAATTTAATGACAGTTTTATTAAACCTAGAATCTCATATCACAGAGCATTCACAGTGCGGGAGGTCACAGTTATTGAAAAAATAGTGAGATAAATATATTTATTATTTACAACTTTTCAACTCATTGCTCCTGCTTTGTTAGAATGAACAAGGATGGTGGCGTTCAGTCCAACATGCCAGAAATGTCTTGGGGGCAGGGGGACTCAAGTGACATATAAGAGCCCCAGAAGTTCTTGGTTTTGATTGTTTTTAAGGGGGTTCTTCCTGGACACGAGAGCCCCGTGATTCTATCTACCTGCTGTTTGGTAGGTCATGGCCGGACCCCAGGGAAATCCCATGGTCCTGCGGAAACTATACCCAGCCTGCCTCTTGGGCATCTGGGATGTGCCCAGCCTCTCTCCTCGCTTGGCCCTTTTCTTGGCAGGTCCTCCCCTGCCCACCGGCCCGGCCCCTCTGGTGGGCAGCACTCTCGCCTCTCTAGGTCATCAAGGCTCTCTTTGTGTTCACCCAGCAACTACTCCTGGTTGGCAGCTGATGGCCAGGAGACACATGCAGAAGGCACCTTGCTCTGAATTGGACATCCAGCCGCCCAGATTAGCAGCTCCCTGAAGAAGTTCCTCAAGAGCTGGCCCCCAGAGGCTCAGCCACAGCTCTGTCTGCTGGGTCCCCAAAAATCCGTGGTCTAAGCCATGCCTAGGAAGTGCCAGGAAGCGTTCTACAGCTCAGAAGGGCACCTCTGGAGGTGAGGACAGGGATGCCCCACTGGCCAGAAAAAAAAAAAAGAACCCCCTAGAACATTTGATTTGGAAAAACGGAGCTGCCTGGCTCACACCCCAGTCATTTTCAGTGTGAGGAAGGCCTTGTTCCTTCTGTTAAAGGAGACAGTCCATCTGGATAATTGGGAATTCCTATCTTGGGAATTCTGGGGTGGGAGCAGGGAGGGTGCTGTTGTCTGGGACCCTCCTTTTATGCACAAAGGCTGATCGTACCAGACCACGCAACTCGAAACCCCAAACTGCCCATACTTTCTCTCGATAGCTTAAAAAAATTGTTTTCCAGTGATGGGGTAGGGAGGGTACATACCTTCTCCAGGATTAAGGGTTTTATTGGCCTTGACCATGGAAAAGTCCCAACCAACATGTTGCATAAAAAGCAACTGTTGAAATTCTGGCAACAGTGGGAATAGGTGTGGATTATGTCCACATTCGCCATCAGGCTTTTATAACCAAGGAGCAACCAATCCCAGACCCACAAATCTAATAATGGATAAAGCTACACAACCAAGGGCTTGACCGTCACGGGGGTGCAGTGGGCATTTTCAGCTCTCAGAGCTGCCCCCCATCGCCCCCAGGTCTGTCTCGGGGGTATTCGGACCCCAGACATTTCCTCAGATTAGAAGGGACCATGTTTTCAGCCGCTGCTTCAAATCTTGTGGAGGAACCAGCTCCTGAGCCCTGGACATGCACACACCTGTACGAGGTGAGGGAAAACCCTGGAAACACGAAGATAAAAGATGACACAGAGCAGGACCACCAGCCCCTGGCAGTGTGTGAAGATTTAGCAGAGACAAATGGAACCAGGATACTATTTGTCATTGAAAAATTAGAATTAAAAAAAAAAAACAACTCCCTAAAATATCAAAGCTTTAATACCAGCCAGCTGGCTTCCTCGTTGCAATGGAAAAAGCAGCTCCACCCAGCTGGCAGGATGGGGAAAATGCGCCTCTTCTCCCGATTTTACGCGGACACCCGGTTCCTCGAGTTTGGGCAGCATTGTGACAGGCTGGATGGTCTCCCTTCGGCTACTAGGCTTGAGGGATGGCCTGACACATAGCTAGTCTCCCAGTCTGCTATTCCTCATTGAGAAGCAAATACAACAACCTAAATGTCTTTTAAAAATCTGTGCCCCTGTGGTCTGCGCCCTTTGGGGAACGTTTTCTACAGTTCTCTGCCTTGTAGGGATGGATCCATGGAAAGACCCCCTCGTTCTACTGCCTGCATGACTGATGCAGTGGGAAGGTTTACCCAGTGCTGGAGGGGCCCCTTCTCTGTGCTTTGAGAAGGTCCGGAGGGAGACTTGAGGGGCTCAGGCGATCAGCTGCAGCAACCGGAAGAGCCAGAATGTACTTGTCCACACCTGGTGGGGGTGTCCAGACACTCTGGGTGAACCCACATAGAGCGGGCAGGGGTCAGGGAGGCAGCACTTTGGGTGTGTGTGTGCCGGGGGGTGGAGGGAGATGACAGATTTCCTGCCACCCAAGAGGTGCCCAGAGAGCATTTTCAGAAATTTCTGGAAGTTTCTATGAGCACAATGTGGCAACAAAGCTGCCAAGACGTGAACCATCTCAGGTGCCCTGGACACCTCTGCTAACTGCCCCAAGGGGAGAAAGACACACAGAGATCACGTTCAGAGGGCATTAGACTTGGGAACATTTAAGTCACGGCGCGTGGGAAACAATCTCCTGAAGATTTTCAGCCTAACAGGCAAGTTCCTGGTTTATTTAAGCAACAAGCTCTTGTTGAGAGCCTGTCACATACGCAGCCCAGTCATCTTTTCCAATCAAGGAGGAACATGGCCCGTGAGGGAAGGAAAGGGGGGGTGCGGTGGAAGAGAAGGGACCACCCCCCACCCTCAGTGCCCACTCAGGGTCAGGGCCATGGCCCCGTCAGAACACCACCCCCACTGGGGAGCACCAGCCCAGCTGCGGCATCTCTGCTTCCCTCCTGCTGAGCCACAGGAGAAAGTCCCCACACGCGGCAGGGAGCACCTACACTGTTCCCGCACCTGGACCCCACTGGCCCATCTCATGCTGGGGGAAGGAGGGCAGGGCACGGAAGCAGCTTCAGCCGCTGGTGCTGGGGTTCTCCCCCACTTCCGTCCTGCCCCGGGGGGTGCAGAACTGACCCTCTCCCAGGCCATCTCACCTCTGTCCACCCCCACCTTCAGGAGAGGGAGGGGCCCCAGGACTCTGGCAGGACAAACATGTCAGGCTTGTGATTCTTCATCCGAGGGGGCAGTTTCTTCCTTGGGGACCTAGACCCCTGGGCAGCCCAGGAGGGGTTCTTTGGTTGGGGTCTGTAGGACTGCCCTAGACTGATGGGCATGCCCCCCGACCTGGTTTAACCTGGCTCTGGGAGGGTTCTGCCTTATCAGCTGCTTGGGTCTGTAAAAGCAGGGGATCAACAGGCAGAAGCAAGACGTAGCCCTAACAGGTGTGTGTGTGGGGAGGGGCGACGAGCAGCGAGGTCTGTGCACGCGGGCGAGATTCAGAGACCAGCAGACTGCAGGTTACGGGAAGGATGATGACTCTGCCCTGCCCTGCCCTGCCCGCGGTGCCCTTCACCATTAGTCTTCCCCCCGGCTGACTCAGAACCTTCCTCCAGGGCCAGGCTTTCAGACACCACACACCTAACAACCCTGTCCGTGCTTGAGCTGGTAAGGGCAAATTCCAAACTAGAAACTGACAGGAACCACCTGCTCCGGATTCTACAGACATTTTCCATCTCAGTGCCATGGTTCATCTTTTTCTTTCCTGCTCCCAGTTAGAAGAGCTGAATTTATTTTTTTGTATTGCCTATTTTTGAAGCAGAGTAATTACCCCATGCTAATTAGCTTTGGGAATAAAATAAAGGACGTAATCCTGTGTAGTGATAAAAGCATTATTTTAAAGTGAAGGCCTAATTAACAAGCAACTCTTTAAACTTGTGATGGAAAAATAGTTAAAAAAGAGAATTATTCACCTATAATGTATATATAGTTTCCTAAATACAATAAATACACAGATCCTTTAAGGAAGTTACATTGGCACATTACAGTCAAGAGAGAATTAGCCAGCAGGAGTGCTCTAGGTACTAGAAACACTATTATTTTTTTAGTCTCAAACTGCCACTGTAGGATACTGTATCCTCTCAGATGGACTCTCCTGAGGAAGAGGCAGGTAATTAGGATGTGTTCTCTAGAAGCTACCCAAGGATTCAGAGAAGTGAATCCAGCACGGACATCACTGGGGGCCACGTGGCCTGTGCCTTGTAGATAAAAATATCTTTTGGTCTTTACCAGGAAAAAAACAGGGGCACCAGATAGGGACAGCTATTAGGATCTGAGCTGGGGCACCGGGAGTCAATTAAATATTTGCCGAAGTTTTAACTTAAACAGTGAGAACCAACCACAAGGGTAAGGCTAGGCCTCCGCCCACCCCCCACCAAGGATGGCCAACCCACTGGCTGCCCAGGGAGGGGTGATGAGTAGTGTTCTGCTACTTACTGACAATCGGCCTAGAGTCACCCGACCTCTCCCAAGACTACATTTTCTGTTAAACGGGGAGAATCACCCCTATGTACATCAAAGGGCAATTCTGAGAACTGAGATGGAGATGGACACACTTTGAAGCCCAGATGAGGCCGTTAAGACCAAAGGGACACGGTGAGCTATGCTGAGAGGTCCTGGGGGCTCTGAACTCCTGCGCTTGTCAAGTTTATACCAACAATCCCACTGGCCTCCCACTTAGCTAATTTCTTAGGAAAATCACCTTTGCCCTCAACTTGAAGACCACTGAGCCCAATCTAGGTAGAGAAACAAAAGAGGAACCTTAGTGTGGTGTAGCTGCTAACACTGATGCGGATCCAGAACAGAAGCCTGGTGACCGAGTTCCCTCCTGTCTTAGGCTCACGCTCGCTGAAAGGACACAGACGCGAGCACTTCCTCCTTTGAAATTCAGGAGGCCTTAGCAAGCACAGCCACGAATTCTACCTCAGGTCACAACCTTTGGGTTTCAGGAAGGAGTTAGCTATTGCATTTCAGCTCATCACCCATGACTGATTATTGGTTAATCACTAAAACCCTTCTTTCCTCACCCTATCTGGGCCAGTTCCCACACATTCTTCTGGGCAAAATACCCCAGTTATTAAAAGTGCATCAAATCCGATAGACTTTTGCAATAGAAATATTAAAAAAATAAGAAAAAACCCCCTCTATATAAAGCGAATTGTGCTTTCTTTTTAGAAACCACGGATGGTTTGTGTTCATAAATCTTTTTAATATAGATCTGAGAGCTACGAAGCAGGTGAAAATTGTTTAGTATTTTTTTTCTCTTTGTGACTCCGCCTCTCATCCTTGGCCCTTCACGGGCAGCCAACTCTAAGGCTCAAGAAACTTAGCTCTACAAAATGCCAAGTTATGGTTTTCATACTTGCCTCCCGGGAACAGAGAGCAATTTTTTTTTCCCCCCAGGAAATCTCTCTTCTCGTTTTTACCCCTTACGTGTGGCTCACTCGTTCCAGTTCAGCAGGCTATGAAATTTGCTGGGCATAGAGACAATCGGGTCTTGCAACAGGGTGGCTTATGAGAGGAGAGCACTTAACAAAGGGACGACAACCCCACATGGACGTTGTGCTGCATCACACGGAAGGTCTGGACTGTAGGGCCGCAAATTACCATCTCCGCCGCGTCTCTGAATTAGCACCCAGGTAGATGTTAGTCTTTCGTGCTTTTCTATATTCCAAACCGAACGTCTTGGTGTCAGCGCAACACGATACACATAGGGTTCGTTTTCCATGGAGTGTTACCTTTTTTGGTCCCCAGCATGGCCTTTTTGTATGGAATGCTATTTTTTCAAGTATGATGATCTACAGGACATTTTATTTTTAATATTTCATCGCTTGTTCTCTGAATGCCTCAATACAAGTGACAAGGAAGTTCACGTCTGTTTCTCCTTTTGGCTGTGAGACGCTTTCAAGTCTTCCGATTTTTCCAGAGAAAGGGGTGGAGTGTTTGCCCTTGGAGGGCCCCCTCCAAACGCTCAGCAGGGTGAGGCCTTGTCCCCTCCGAACTGTGAGTGCTCCTGGCCGAGGTCGGAGGCGCACATGCGGCCTGAGGGACTCACACCCTCCGGCCCAGAGGTGACACTTGAGAGCGACATTCCCGTTTTGCACTTGTCCCAGGGGACCTCCCGTTCTCCTGGCCGCCTCACTCCCGAGGCGACAGAAAGACACATTGCACATGGAAGTCCTCACTACAGTGTCTGAGAGAGGAGAGGGGCCCGCCGCACCCCTGTGGCTGCCAGCTCAGGGGGCTGCCAGGCGGCTCAGCAGCGGCCCCTCAGTCTTGCCTTGCGTGGGGAGGGCAGAGCTCCGAGGAGGAGGAGGCCACCGCCCAGCGGCCCGGCTCGTGACCAGACGACGAGCACGACGGCCCTTCCTTCCAGCGTGTGGAAGAGCAGAAGGTGACCACCGAGGCAGGAGAGACTGGCGGTGGGGCAGGGGAGAGAGCGAGGACACCGGCGCCGGAGAGTCCAGAACAGCTCCCGGGGCTGGGGGGAGAGGGGGTGCAGTGCCTGGGCTTTAATTGTCTTCTCGGCACATGGGCAAGTTGACGAAGGTGAAGACGTTAAACTCGATCATGATGGAGAAGCACAAGAAGACAGCGTAGAGGGCCAGCACGCAGACGCCCAGCTTCCGGTCAAGTCTCCACTTGTTGAGATGGATGCCGAGGACCTGGAGGGACAGAGCGCAAGGATGGGCCCGGGGGTGGGGGTGGGGGGGCAGAGGAATGAATGCAGTTGTCCAGGCATTTTCCCTGGAAAACTAGACACACGCTACGGACCCCAGAACTTTCTCCAAAATGTGGGCAAGGGCAGAGTGTCACTGCAAGGCACATCCGTGGTCCGGTCTTGCCCTTGACCCAGGCCCACGGGCTCCAGGGACACATGGCAGCTGCCCCCGTGGGACGGCCCACCTCGAGCTGGCACACCACTTCCTGGGGACCTGAGTGTCCTCAAGGCCCAGCCTTGAGGCACCAAGGGCCTCCTCCCTGCCCAGACCTTCTCTCGCGACAATCAGGGAACCTTCTCTCGCGACAATCAGGGACCTTCTCGGAGTCCTCTTTGCTGCAGAACTTGGCATCCTCAGCCCTCTTAGGCAAAACTTCTAATGCATCTATTGGCTCACAGCCTGGCTAACTTCAGGGGTGTGGGGGGCGGGTGGTATGTGTGTGCGTGTGTGCACGTGTGTGTGTGTGTGTGTGTGTGTGTTTGGAGCACATCCTCATTCTACATTCCTTCTAGACTCTCCCGCACTTCATGCCTTTCTTTCTTATCTCTGAATGGACACTGCCTAAGGGCTGGATCACAGTTACCCCATCAGAGCAAGGCCATGGGTTCTATAGAGACAGACCGATCTGGGTTCAAATCCCAGCTTTCCCATTTCCTACCCCTGTGACCTTGGGCAAGGTACTCAACCCCTTGGCCTCGATTTCTTCTGCCAAATGGGAACAGCATCATCAGGTGGCTGTAAGGATTGAATAAAATAAGCAGAGGTACAGTGTGTAGCTCAAGCCCGGGCGCGTGGAGTAAGGCGACCTCAGCATTACTCACGTGCCAGTCCTGAGGCCTGACAGTCATGTCCCCCCTCTGTCAGCTCGGCTAGGCTGGGGGAAACTTCTCTCCTCCTGGCAGTAGTGAGGGGAGACGGATGGGGCAGTGGGGAGACCGGGATGCAGTTCACTTGCTCTGGTGACTTCTTAGTCACTCAGGGAAAAATGTAGTGTGGGGGGGTGCCAACGTTCTGGGTGCAAACTGCGTCTGGAGGGCTCTGTGAATCTGTGTTTTCTCAGTGTCATCCCTCGCTGCCAGAGGGAAGAGAGATGGGTTTCAGAGACATTGCAAGTAACGATGCAGGATCAGATGGAATGAAGGACAATTCCAGAACCGGAAGACTCACAGTGAGAGCGACAGAGCCCAGCAACAACACCACGGAATAGACCAGACCTCGGCTGTTGATCTTCACCTGGAAAAACAAACACACACGCCCTGAATCTCGGGGCTGCTCGGGGCCCTGTTCTGAGAGCCCAGGGCACCGTCGTGTATTCCTTCTGGAAAGCATAGGATAGGGTGTTCATGGTGAGCCTGTAGTGGGGGAGGGTCAGCTAACCGTGGATTTAAGTCTCCACTCTGCTTGGGAAGGAACCGATGAGGCGGGGACACACGTGTCCGTGGGCTGAGGTGCGGGGTGGCTGCACATGGGGGCTTCCTCCTGCAGGTGCCCCTCAGGCCGTTCCAGAGGTCTTCATGGAAAGTGGGTGCCAGGGTGCCAAGGGGGGGGGCAGTGTGTCACCTGGGGCTCTCTGCTGGAACGGGGCCAATGCCACCGTCTGTCCCCATCAAGTGCTCGTGTCTGGCGTCCACGCCAGACTAATAAGGCTTATAAGGCAGTGGGAGGAACTTACCGTGGACCCATAGTTAATAACCATGGTCTGCAGGCCCCACGGTATGCCGAGTCCCACTAGGATGTCAAATACATTGCTTCCTATGGTGTTTGAGACAGCCATGTCACCAAGGCCTAGAGCAGACAATTGACACGTGTCATTCACCAAGATTAGGTTGCTGGAAACCCCTATTTGTGTCCTAGTAGCGCTATTCTTCAGAAAGGAATTCCTTCTTCATGGATCCCACATTTCAGAAAATTCTTATGAGGTCTAAATCCACTCCATGAAGTCTAAGGGGCCTCCTAGGGGCTGAATGATGACCCTTGAGATTCCTATGTTAGAGTCCTAACCTCCAATAGCTCAGAATGCGGCATTTGGAGATAGGATCTTTATAGGATCATCAACTTAAAAAGAGTCATTGGGGTAGACCCTAATCTGACTGGTGTTCTTACAAAAGGGGACACCTGGACACAGCAGAGAGGGAACATGAAGACGGCCATTTACAAGCCAACGAGAGAGGCCTGGAACAGATTCTCCCTCACAGCCCTCAGGAAGAACCAACTCTGCCAATACCTTGACCTTGGGCTTCTAGCCTCCAGAACCCTGAGACCATACATTTCTGTTCTTTGTGGTGCTTTGTTATGGCAGCCCTGGGAAACGAATATAGGGCCCTTTATCATTTCTCCTGCTGGGTCGGTCCCCTGATGTTCCCCAAGGACCCACTATGTGCTATGAGGACCCACTATGTGTGTCACCTTATTGAATCCTCCCAGTTATCCTGGGAGGGAGGGGGCATTGTCCTCATGGCATATGACGGAACCAAGGCTTGGGGGCATGCTCAAAGTCACACAGTTTGTGAGCGGTCCAGCATCCTTCACAGAGCCCAGGTGATGGCCCCATGACCTGCGCTCAGAGGATAAGGCATCGGGTCTCATGCCCTGGAGGCTTCTGCAGGGTAAACTCTTTTCTCCCAACTAGACTAGAAGCATCTTAGAGGCTAGGGGCCTCGCCATCATCCTTTGCTTCCTGCCCAGCTGGCTGGGATCATGCTAGCCACACAATCAAAGGACTTAACAGCTCGAGGGGTATTAAAAGTTAGAAAACAAACTTGTACAGATAAGACTCCGGCTGCCTGCCATCTGCTCTAACCGGGCCACCTAGCTTTCACCTGACATGACCGTCAGAACCCGGCACAATGCAAGTGTGCATGCAACGAACGAGCTTGGAACACGAATGTCTGCAGCCCTAAGACGGCTTGGGTCCCTGAGAAGCTTGCAGCTGCTCGGCCCTGCACCCGGACAGCCGGCTCGCGTCCGTCTGAGCACCGGCCCCGTGGGGAGACGCTGGGCTACCCCCTCCTCCTGCCCTGTTGCTGTCACCTGCGGACCTCCAGGACCCAGTGCCTCCCTCAGGGACCTCACGTTCTTCCTCCCTGTCTCGGCACCGTGCTGGGTGCTTTCAAAATCTTGGTGGTGGTGTTGGGGCGCTGACTCCCGGGGCATCAGCCTCCCAGCGTCTCAGTCTCTGGAACAACGCAGGGACGTGCGACAGTGGTTTTGGGCCAGCTACTCGCCTCTGGTGAGGACGCAGCACCCGCTCGATGGGTCAGGAGGTACGCGGACACCCGAGTTTGAGAGGAGAGGAGGAGGGGGTCTCAGATTTGGCAGACTTCCCACCCTGCGCCAGTGCTGCCTATCGAGGAAACTTAGGGCAACCTTCTCAAACTTCAAGAGCGCAGGACTCACTTGGGGGCCTGGCGGTGGGTCTGGGGCGGGCCCGAGATTCTGCATTTCTTTTTTTAAATTAATCAATTAATTAATTAATTTTGGGGGGAGAGAGAGCAAGAGCAGGGGGTGGGGAGGGGCACAGGGGGAGAGAGACTCTGAAGCAGGCTCCACGTTCAGCTCAGCACAGAGCCCAACGTGGGGCTCAATCTCACAACCGTGAAATCATGACCTGAGCCGAAACCAAGAGTCGGATGCTTAACCCACTGAGCCACCGAGGCGGCCTGAGATTCTGCATTTCTTACAAGCTCCCTGGTCAAGCTGCTGCTGCCGCCGCCAGCCCGGACCACACTTGGAGCTGCGAGCCTTCGGGAGCCTAGGATGCAGGATCTCCACATTAGAGCACGTGGCATGGTCTGCTTGTGCAATGGATTCCGAGCAGAGGTTTCTGGACCCTTTGCCATGAAGAAAGTGTCCATGCTTTAACCATGTCTGCTGGATCCTCGGCCAGCGACCCCGGTGTCACTTTCATGATGATACGCTCCACCTGCACCTTGCCCTCGCTCACTTTCTGTGCCCTCTGCGTTCCACAGGAGTCACCCTGATAGGATGTCCTCCCTCAGAACGCCACCTAGCCCAGGTTCCTACAGAGCCCTTTCTTGACCTCACCGCCCAGGCCTTCACCTTCTAGCATCATGACTCCAGCCCCCAGCCAGCCTGGACTCCAGGGTTGGTTGTTTCAACAGCACATTCTCTTACCCCTTGACCTTCCCTGCATCCACCTGGCAACACCAGCTCTGGGTGAACTTGTCATCTCTCACGTGTGTGTCACTGGAGCTGGGTATGCCTGAGTCCCACTTGGCCAAGCTGACGCCACTGAACATCAGCCAGGCCCTCGACGCTCGGTGGCTCTCCTAGTCCTCACTGCACCGGGTTGAACAGTGCCCTCCCCGCAGCTCGTGTCCTCCCGGCACCTGCGCCTGGGGCTTTATTTGCAAATAGGGTCTTTGCAGATGTGATCAAATTAAAATGAGGTCATACTGAATTAGGATGAGCCCCGATGCAATGACGGGTGTCCTCGTAAGGAGAGGGAAGTTTGGACACGGACACTCGCAGAGGGATGAACACCACGTGCCGACAGAGGCAGAGACGACAGTGACGCAGCCCTAAGCCATCCGCCCGGCCACCCCCAGAAGCTGCAGGGAGAGGCCTGGAACAGACCCTTCCCTACAGCCTTTGGAGGGAGTGTGGCCTGGCTGCCACCTCAATTTTGGACTTCTAGCATCCAGAACTGTGCAACTACCAGCCTCTTCTTTTAAGCCACCCCGTTGTGGTGTTTTGGTTATGACAGGCTTAGGAAGCGAATATACTCACCTCAGAGGTCACTCGATTAAACACCGTTCCCCTCAGTTGCTGTCCCCACTGTCCACAAGCCTCCGGCCTATGTCAACCACACTCCCACACTTCTCTCCCCTCATCTCAGGTCTTCTCAGGACCGACTGACCCCCTAAGTCAACCCTTTTCTCCTAACTTGGGAGGAATAAAATGTCACTTCCTGCCTGCCAGAGCCCACTTTCCCCTTGGGCACTTCTTTTCTGTCTCCTCTGAGGTGTCATTCTATTATTGGCCCCCAGCGCCCCGCCCCCCATACTTTCACACTTTCATCTATGGAGGACGATGTGTGGGGGTTCATGCTGGGTTTCGGCCTCACCAGCACACACACCACAATCAATAAAGGTCAGCCCTTTATGGGGCTTTTGTTCTGCATTAAAGAGCATACAGGTACTCCTTACCTTGCTTAACCCGTGTCAGGTAGTGAGCCCCAAAGAAAAACCACTAACCAACCAACCAAGTAACCAAACCGGTATCCACGTTCTAGAATTTTAAGAATAGGAAAACAGTTGGAGGTACACGATACCCCTCTCCCTTTGCCTTCCTGGGACCCGAAGACTTCTCGTTACTATTGTATTTGCTGTAAGAAGTCGGGGTTTCAGCTCTGTTTAATGCCAGACTGGTGATTTCAGAACAAGTTCCTTTGATCCAAGTCTGCAGAAGCAAATGGTTCTAGAGATCTGGATGGAGGTGTTTATGGCTGTCGTATTCTCTCTCCACGGATGGACTCGGATGCATGATGCTTTCCCCTCATCAGCCGGCTCCATAGCAGGATGTAACAGCTACCGGTCAGAAGGGCCATGAACTCTAACCCCAGTAGGGGCAGGGGGGCCTGCCCGGTGATGCTCACAGCTGGAGGGGCACCACCCTTACCTTGTCTCGCCACGATTAAGCTGGCCATGCAGTCTGGAACACTCGTGCCCGCTGCCAGGAAAGTGATGCCCATGATGACATCGGGGATCCCAAGCGTGTATCCAATAATTGTCACCTGCAGAAGAGTCGGGGCGGGGGGGGACATGAACTCTGGGAGGAATACCCAGGACCTTTGCTTATTCCCAGTGCTTTTAACTGGAACGTAGGACTGCTGTTCTATTTGCTGTTTTAAAACATTTAGAAACTGAAGGAAAATAAAAACAAGACCCACAGACGACCACTATTAGCCTTTTCTGTCAGCCCGTGGTTCTCAAACTCGAGCCCGTGGAAAAGCCTCTGGCGGGCTGGTTACAATGCAGGCTGCTCCCCCCGCCCCCCATGTTTCTGATTCAGGAGGCCTGGGGTGAAGGCCGAGAGTTTACGTTCCTACCCAGTTCCCAGGTGGCTACTGGTCTGGGAACCACACTTGAAAACTCTTGCTTTAGAATATATCCTTGACCTTCTTTTTGGTGTGTGTGTGTGTTAGATGCTGTGGATACCCTTCCACCTCTTGTCATCATCTTTGATACTATTTCAAACCGATGTGTGGGGGTCCATGCTGGGTTGGATCTATGGTGGCCCCCCATAGATTTCATGGCGTGGCTGAATGGTTCTAGCCAATCCCTCACCATCGGACAGTGAGGTGGTCTCTTTCTTTGCTCCTACGACCTCACAGCATATAACATGTATTGAGCACATAGTGTTTACCAGGTGCTTTCCCAGGTATGTTGCGTACACAATCTCAGGTGCTCTATTATCACCACCCACTGGTGAGGGGGCACTGTGGTTACACTTATTTTACGCCCAGGGAAACTGAGGCTCAGAGAGGTTATGCAGCATTGCCTGTGGGCAAGAAGCTGGTGAGCGGTGGAGCAGGGATTCTGGGCCAGGTCTTACTGACTTTAAAGGCCATGTTCCTACCTCAATATCATGCACCTTGGGTGTACATCTTTGGGTCCTTATCTTACTGCCTTCTTAGGAAAAGCTCCAAGAAATAGAACTTCCGGATCAAAGGATCCTGATGCAGTCACACACTCTACTGAGAAATTCCTGACACTCGAGAGATGGCTGGCGTGCTGAGCAGGAGCCAGATGGAAAGCCCTAGAAGCACTTGGGTAACCCCATTAGCTCTGGCTTGCCCTCCCTCCCATCTCTACAATGGGAACCGTGGCACCTCTTACGGTTGTTCGCATCTCGACTGATGGCTCCAATCCTAGCGAATGGTTGTGTGATTTAGGAGAAGCTGGTTTGCTTCTCTGAGCCTCAGTTTCCTCATCTGCAAAATGGGCTTGCTAATAAAGATTAAGTGAGAAAATGTGAGATGACAGTGCCTGGCCTGTGCAAGATGTTCACAGATGTATGTTTCCCTTCTCTTTCAGACACCGAGGAGGGCAAAACTGAACCATTGATCCATCAATGTTCAGTCTACCTTGGCCATGAACGAGATCTCCACAAGTACAACCAGGCCGTGGCTGACAGGCTTTCTTTGGGGGATGCCAGACATCGTCAATACAGGAGCCTGGGTTATTTTGGCATGATGGGGGATGCCTCCATTCCCCCCCTTGAATCACTGAACTACGTGGCTAAGAAGCTGAAGGATGGAAGAACAGAAGGAAGGTCTTGTGTGTGTGTGTGTGTGTGTGTGTGCATGCGTGCACACACCATCCAGGGTGCTTCAGACTAGAGATGCCGCCTGTGTGTGGCATTGCCCCGGACTCTAGCCCTGGGCCCTCTGAGCCCACCTGATACTCAGGCTTCCGATAGGGGAGCAGAACTGAGTCCAGAGCTCTGGGGCTATCTGTGCAACCTTGTGGAAGTCGTGGCCCCGCTCTGGCCTTCAGTCTCCCCAGCGGTGCAAGGGTGCTGGGCAGGACGATCCCTTTCCAAGGTCCCTCCCTTCACACTGACATTCAAGAATTGTTTTCCCTGAAGCCTTAGGCGTGAGAGATATAAAAGGTGGTAAGAGTAAGGGGTGGGCAGATGAGATGCCATTGCTCCCTGGCGGCCCCCATCAGGTCACAAGGAAAGCAAGCTCATGGCCCAAAATGAAGGCTGACATGGGGTGCTATCGTCTTGACCAATTTCTACCGTCAGGGTCATTCCATTTCCCCCAAACTGAGGCGGGCTGAAGTTCAAAGCCACAGGTAAGGGTGCCACAGCCAAGCAGTTCCTGTGACCCCAGGCAAGCTACTTCCAGACTCTCTCTACTTTAAGAAGTGCAGGTGGGCTGACTCGAGGTCATGGGGATGTGAGTGTTGTTAAACATCCGGCCTCACAGCGAATGAGCAGAGCTGATTTCATAATACTGTTGTTTCCAGTAACTGGAGAAGAGAAAGTTTCACCCATTCATTAATTTGATCTTTCCTAATTCTCATACCTACTCCTCAGATGTCATGCAATACTTTTTTTTCCTTACAGTGTTGTTTTGGGAATGTACTTCAGTAAGAGAATTCCCTGGACCCTTCTATCAAATATAAAGATGGGCTGGTGTTAACCTTCTCTGAAAAATGTCCATTTACAAGGGCAATTCGCATAAGGCATCGTTTTCGTGATCCTTGATTGTCCTCTACTTGGGGGTTTGGATAGTAGCCGTTTTCAACTCTTCCCACACCCCAACACACACACACACACACACACACCCCGGCATCTATGAGGATTTTAACCTTTGTCTGGACAAAGCATGGACGCAGCCCTGGCTGCATCTCATGGTGAAAACAGTTGCTATCGACAGTTACGATCGATCAGACATGCTGCCAACTCGAACCACAAAGTCTGAGCAGAGAACTCCATCCTCCCCATGAACTTGTGAGACGGGGACGGTCATCCCCCTTCTGCAGAGGGGGTGACCGTGGTTCATGGAAGCTGAGTCACCTGCCGAGTTTCACGGCTGGTAAGTGGGAGATCTAGGATTCAAATGCATTTCCATGTGACCCCACAGCCCTCCCCTCCCCACAGGGTGGTACACGGAGCAACGGGGAAAGGGGCTCCTGCTTACCGCCCCCCACCCACAGCCAATGAAAGGTTTGTACAGGGAGCTGTCACGCGTGGCCAGAGGTGCTTACAAAGAGCTATGCCAAAGCCTCTCTGCCTGCAAAACTTCAGTCCAAATGGCATCTGAAAACTCCAGTAAGAAATTGAGGGGCATTTCGGGATAGTCGCTGAGATCATGGACTCAGGAGCCCAACTCTAGAATTTACTGATTATGTAACTAATCGTATAATAGTTGATAATTGTGCAACTGGGCCAATTACTCAATCTGGATGCCTCAGTTTCCTCATCTGTAAAATGGGCAAAATAAAAACCCCTATCCCACTGGGTTGTTATGAGGACCAAATGAGTTTATTGGTAGGGGTTACAGAAAAGACTGCCTTGTGTTCCTCTCCCACTGACTTGTCTCCCTCACCTTCCCCCAGGGGCCCTGGAAAGGAAGGGGGACTAGGCACTAGCCCTCCAGAGATCTTCCCGCCATATTCCTTTTCACATCGCACCTGAGCAGCGGATCTCAGAATCTCTTCTCCTGCCCCCACGCTTGCCTTGAATGTCAGTGCCATGCTGTGTCCATCCGGGTATCCCTGGTGCCAAGCACAGCCCCAGGCACCTCTGCTGAAACCCCCTTCTACTGAGAAATAAGCCAACGTCTGCAAAGGGAGGCGACTTGCTCAAGGTGGCACCACCGTGTCTGAGGTCGCTCTTGAACCCAGCTCTCCCACCTCCGGCAGGTGCTGGGCAGGGGCTGTCTGTACGGCCCACCCCCGCTTCCGCCACTCACCAGCCACACCATTAGGTAGGAGAAGACAGCGATCCACAGCGTGGCGGTGATGAAGGTGACCATGAAGTATTTCTCCCAGCGGGGCTTGCTGCAGTTGGGGATGGTGATGCACAGGAGGAAGATGAGTGGCCAAGTGAACACCCACTTGGCTTTGTCCCCTCTTGCCTCTGCAGTGGGATGGGGTGGAGCCAGAAGGGGGAGGAGAGAAACATATACCAGGTTACACACCTGCTAGTCTACCTGCCTATCACTTTGTGTTTTAGTAGTTTCTTCATTCATTAAACGGAAACATTTTCTTTCTTGGTTGTTGCAAGAATGACATGATATAATGTACAAAAAAGACCCAGCACACACTGTAGCATATAGTTAGTACTCTGGAAATCTCAGCTCCTTTGTTCCAAGGTCATATACTCTGCTTGTTGTAGATACAAGACTAAAATACTCAGAGTGGCTGGCAGGCGTGACCCCACTGGCCCCTACCAACAGAATCCACAAACAATTCAACCACGGAAAAGTGGCCTCACTAAGCCACTGGGTGCAAGCATAGTGTCCTTAATTAGCCACTGAGTACGGTGGACACATGCAGGCTCAAAATTAGCTTGTTGGCCACGCCAATGAAATCGTGGAGGATGGACTTCTGAGGATTCTCTCCTCCACAAAGCAATGAGAACACGGGCAAAAATGGTCAGAATCAGCCTTTTTCAGAACTCTGGAAATTAACCAAAGGCATGTAGTAATTCCAGCAGAGTTTCCTTAAGAAAATTGGCAGGATCTCATTGAGAACAGTGAGCTTTGTGGAGTTTTAACTTGCTCTATTTTCCAGTCCCTTCCACCAGCTCTGGAGTCGCCTTGAGAGCCAGCATCCTGGCATCCACCATAGGGGGCAGGGCTGGAGCTTCTTCCAAGTCCATTCTCAGAGAACTGGCTTTATTTGACCTATCTGGTGGTTTTCTGGAAGATCCCACTTTCAAGGCTGTCTTTATTTTTCCTGAATCAGAGCTCAGCCAGTGTGAATAGCATTTTCCTTGGGGCATTTGTTGAAAACAATCAGAGGCAACTGTTGAACATCACACTGTCCAAGGTGGTGGGTAACAGTTGAGACAAACAATGAACTGGCCAAACAGCTTAAAAGGCAAAACTGGGGAATGGGATATCTATAGAGGGCTTTGCAAAGCTCCCACATATTTGGGAATCTAAAAGACCATGAGTATGCATAGGGCTGTGCCCGCGGATATTTGCATGCTCAGTAAAGATTTGAGGATGCCCTAAGCTTTCACCTCTGCCTAATGTTGAGGCTCTGAGCAAGTAAGAAAGTAAAAACTAAGGTAGATTTGTGAACTATCTGCCTCAGTGTTGAAGGTGTGCCCCCAAACACACACAGAACTTAACGGCAAAGACTGGAAGACTTACTTGGTCCAGGCATCTAAGGAAATCTCTGTGCAATCATTAGATGACCTTAAGAGAACCTAGCAGATATTTCCGTGTCCACACACAATGAAGAAGACAAATTTTACAGAATTACCTGAAAACGGTGACTAAACAAACAACAGCAATAAATAGCAGTGACAAGCAGCCCTGGGAAGGGAGAAGAATATGATTTCTAGCATTGTCAAATTATATTATTTTAAATGGCCAGTTTCCAACAATAACATCAAATTATGAGACATGCAAAGAAAGAAGAAAGTATGGTCCATACACAGGAAAAAAAAAATCAGTCTAAACTACCTCTGAAGAATTACAGACATTGGATTTACTAGACAAAGACTTTACTTTTTATTATTATTATTTTTTTTAAAGATTTTATTTATTTATTTGAGAGAGAGAGA